TCAAAGTCGAAACTTTTCAGAGCCACAATATCTCCGGTTTCAGAGTTAATATTCAGAAATGATGTTACTTTATTTTCATGGTCTGCAGTTCTGAGAATGTGATATGAAATGAGTGCATTATCTCCCTCATCACGATCAGATGCTCCTACAGAAAACATCGAGGCTCCTGCTGCATTGTTTTCAGTTATATAGAACGTGTAGGGGCTTACTGAAAACACAGGGCTGTTATCATTCGTGTCTGACACTTGAACGCTTACTGTCTTTTCAGAAGTTAAAGCTGGTTCACCTGCATCCTTGGCTATTATTGTAATATCATACTTGGATTTTTCTTCTCTATCCAACTGTGACTTGGTGACCACAGCAAACATGTTGTCCTGAATTGATGGCGTTAAAGTAAAAGGACTGTTTCCAGTGACATAGCTCATTATCTTGCCATTAATGCCAGAATCCAAGTCGGTTATGCTTATCAGTGCAACGGTTGTTCCTGGTCTGGCGTCTTCTGAAATTGCACTTGACAAGGATGCTACCTCAATTTCAGGAGGATTGTCGTTTTTATCCTTTATCTTAATAATAACACTTTTATATGTTCTTAAGGGACTAGTTCCCTTATCAGAGGCTTGGATGTCTATATCATAGCTGTCCTGTTCTTCAAAGTCAACAGGTCCTATCATGATTATCTCCCCAGTGACAGGGTTGATTTCAAAGAGCCGTCTAATTTTGTCTTTTACATCACTGCCAAACGTATAGACTATTTCACCATTATAACCTTCATCCAGATCTGTTGCATTAACTTGAATGACTGTTGTGCCAAGTGGTGCGTTTTCCTCTAGCACAGCTGAATATCCATCTTTGATGAACACAGGCATATTGTCATTAACATCTAGAACATCAACGAATATTTCAACTGTGCCCGTTTTCGGGGGTGTTCCACCATCTATTGCCGTCAGGACCAGTTTATGTCTGCTTTTGGCCTCTCTGTCTAGCTGTCTCTGCAACTGCAAAATAGGAGTTTTTCCTTCTCTTCCACGATCTTTAATCTCTAAACGAAAGTGATCATTTTGACTAATTCTGTACTGTTGTATAGAGTTTGCTCCCGCATCGGGATCGTGAGCGTTTTGTAACTGATACTGTGCCCCCGGTAATGCAGCCTCTGAGATCTCTAGCCTCCTGGTTTTATTAGGAAATGTGGGAGAATGGTCGTTTAAATCCATTATCTCCACTGTCACGTAGTGTATTTCTAGTGGGTTGTCCAAAACTGTTTTGAGGTTAATCAAACACACGTTGTTATCCTTACACACTTGTTCTCGGTCAATCTGATGGAGAGAATACAGGGCCCCGTCGTTCTCGTTTACCTTAAAAAGAGGTTCAGTAGATCCGGACATTATCCGAAAACCTCTTTGTTTCATCACTTTCAAATCTATTCCCAAATCCTTGGCTATATTCCCAACAAAGCTCCCTTCCTTGAGCTCCTCGGAAATGGTGTATCTCAGTTGTCCCGATGCTGCTCTGATGAATAGGAATAAAAATAAAACGCAAAAAATTGCCGATTGCCCTCGCCTCGAAGGCTGTCCTCTTTGTTTCATATTGTGAGCCGTGAAAGGGAAACCGAACGCGTCCATTACCCTCCACATGTTTAGACTTTGGTTTCAATCACAAGAAATACAGCCACTTCTCCAATGATTGTAAAATAAGTCATAATAAAAGAAAAAACGCTAGTCATTTGCTTTGTCCAAACCTGTCAGCCTAACGTTGTCTCACCAGAAAGAGGAGGTGGACTCTTAAATCCCCAAGACCAGCTCAGAGACCACCAGGCGTTATAATGACAGCGTACTGCCACCTCCTGAACGTGTTTGATAGTACATGTTGACTGAAATGTATCGAAAAGCTCCGTTTTCACCTGAGTCCTGCTCAAATTAGAAATGGGTATCATTATTGACGGGGAATGATGACACTAACCAAATTAATATTTAGGGAATATTATTATGTAGCTACACACCGTTGGAAGTGTATGAAAGAGATTGTAGTTACTCTGTTGTATGGGTGCTTTCTGAGAAGTGTAAAACCAGAAGGTGACTTTTTTCGATTAACTCGTTTTATTCTGTAACATGTATCCATTCTGCCTATTTCAGAAGCTCAATAAGTGATTCATTCTACAGAAAAGGGAGAATAACATATCGAAGTGCCAAAGTCTATAAGTAAGTGGTGAAATAAAACATTTAACTCTATATTAAATAGTCAAACTGTATTTAAATTAGTCCTGAAAAAACACCACTCTAATAAAATGCATCTTAAAACCATTTAAAATTCCAGCGGATTACTTCTTATCTTATCTAATATTTTCACTTTCATGTTTGGCAAGCACGAATGCATTTTTTAACGTCAATCACGAAGCAGGTAGGAAAACTGTTCACTCACCTCAGAAGTTCTCCTCCTATCAGGCAGCACCAGAGTATTAGCATGGCTGCCAGGTACTATAGTAGA